AACAGCTGTAATTAACTTTACTATAAGAAGGAGTCAAGAGAGTTCACTCTTTCTCTCTCTGCTTGTCCTATGCTTGATGACTTGATGGCTGGAATGTGAACTGCTACTGTAAGCTATTGTTTGTTCTTTGAATTGTGTTTGTACTAATATCTACTATCTATTATCACTGCTTGTGAAGCAATTATCAGTAGTAAAGCTACTTGTTTTTACTAGCAGTGTCTGAAACTCTATCCGTGTGTTTCTAGTAGCAACATTCTTTCTCTCTAGCTGTACATTCCACTACACTACTTTCTGTCTCCCAACGGAGATCCCCCTAACAATGATGTGTGCCAAAAAAATTGTACCAAACAATTTTTTCCCCACAAGGAATAATGTAGTGTGTGTCACAAGGCAGCTAATGTCGACAAATTCTAGATTGTACATTGAGTACCTAACAAGCAATGAGTACAATGATTACGGGACAAAATATTTGTGTCAAAATGCACTGATTACCAAATTTGACGGAGTTTCAAAGCGAGGACCACGGTAACACTGTACTTGGACAATTTACAGGTTGCAAGGCAAAATATCCATCTACAGAAAGTGAAAGTAAGCTTACCTGACAGATTCAAGAGTGTTGGCTGCCCAGATATCCGTTCCCAACATGTCCAGGGAGCTGTTTTTGTTTCCATTCTTTAAAAAAGAAAGTAGACAAGATAATTGAGATGTTTCCTTCTATGGTAAAGGTTTGCTTTGCCGCAGCATGTTTTTAATACAGGTAGTCCTCAACTTAGAACTGTTTTGCTTAGTGACCATTCGAAGTTACAATGGCACTCAAAAAAGTGACTTATGACCATTTTCCACACTTACAACCGTTGCACCGTTCCCACGGTCATGTGATCAAACTTTGGATGCTTGTCAACTGCCTCTTATTTATGATGATTGCAGTGTCCCAGGATCACGGGATCCCCTTTTGCAACCTTTTGACAAGCAAAGACCATGGAGAAGCCAAATTCACTTAACAACGTTGCTAACTTAACAACTGCAGTGACTCACTTAACAACTGTTGCAAGAAAGGTTGTGAAATGGGGCAAAACTCACTTAACAAGTGTCTCACTTAGCAACAGAAATGTTGGGCTCAACTGTAGTTGTAAGCCGATTTCAGTGGTTCTCAGAGATTCATGCAAACACTTTCTCTCTGCTTGGTTAGTTGCAGTGAAATGTGAGGAATATTGGAGGTTTGTATTGGCCAGTTCTAGAGGAGATCAATCCTGACTGCTCTCTAGAAGGCCAGATCCTGAAGAGGAAACTCCAAGACTTTGGCCACCTAATGAGAAAGAAGGACTCACTGGGGAAGAGCCTAATGGTGGGAAAGGGTTCACTGACAAATGCGCACTCAACAAAAGGGTGCCGATGAAACCGTGGTGAGAAAACCGCAAGGTCGAAATTACGCCAACGAATGAGTGCAGAAGCACGCCGACAACAGCACGCCGACAAAAGCGTGCCTTCAACAAACAAGTAATAACAACCTAATAACCCTAACCCTAACCCTAACCCTGAACCTAACCCTGAACCTAAGCCTTACCTTAACTTAAATAGCGCTTTTGTGGGCGCAGTTTTGTCGGCGCATTGTTGTGGGTGCGTTTATGATGTCGCGGTGTTCTCGTAGTGGTTTCGTCGGCACGCTTTTGTCATGCGCGCATTTGTCGGGTCGCGGTGGGAAAGATGGAGGGCATAAGAAGAAGGGGACGACAGAGAAGGAGGTGGCTGGAGTCACCGAAGCAGTAGGTATGAGGATGGTAGAGGACAGGAAGGCTTGGAAGAATGTTGTCCATGGGGTCGCGATGGGGAGGACACAACTTTGTAACTAACAACAACTTCGTAACCATCACTGGACTAACAACAACTCAAGCAACCATCACTGGAGGCTTTTAAGAAGAAACTGGAGAGCCCCTTGTCTACAATACTAAAGGGTCTTGTCCTTGAGCAGAGGGTTGGACTAGAAGACCTTCAAGGTCCCTTCCAAATTTGCTATTCTATTAATTTGTGTGGTTCCTTGAGAAAGGAAACACTGCCTGCCAATTTTAATAATAGGCAGTCCAGTCATAAGTGCAAGTCCAAGCTTTCATTCAATTTTGAATTAAAGACAGAATTAGGAATAGAACTCATTCTTAACCCAGGTCTACCTTTGTTCTATAGTCCCACTGGGTTTTATTTCTAGGGAAGTCTGTGTAGGTGTGAATTCATTCAATGGTATTTACTTTCCAAGAGAAACACTACTTAGCTGCTCTCTAATCAAAATATCGAAATATTTAATATATAAAAAGAGTGCAAACCTCACTCCCTTCTAGCACTGATGATGTTAACTAGTTGGGTGTTGTGGCCCAGCAGGAGCCGTTGGAGCTGCCACCAGACTCCGACAGCGA